AGGGACAGAAGGCGAATGAGGTGGAGGATACTGGCTTCAAGCTTTGGTTCACTGGAGCTTCATCGAGCAGGAATGGTGTAGGCATCTTGATCGAAAGGAGCCTTAAGGATGGAGTTGTCGATGTCAGGAGGCAAGGCGACTGGATTATCCTAGTCCGATTGGTAGTTGGAGATTTGACCTTGAATGTGATCAGTGCCTATGCCTCTCAGGTAGGTCTTAGTGAGAGCGCAAAGAGGCAATTCTGGGAGGATTTGGATACCTTGGTTAGCACGGTGCCTGCCATCGAGAAGCTCTTCATAGGAGGAGACCTAAATGGCCATGTGGGTGCGACTAATGTAGGTTTCGAGAGAGTGCACGGAGGGTTTGTGTATGGTAGTAGGGACGCAGAGGGGGAGGGTGTGTTGGACTTTGCGATGGCCTATTACTTGTTGACAGTGAACACCCTCTTTAGGAAGAGGGAATCTCATCTGGTGACCTTCCATAGTGGACGACACTCAAGTCAGATCGACTTTATCCTTGCAAGGAGGGAGGATAAACGCGCTTGCGTAGATTGCAAGGTAATACCTGAGGAATGTGTTGTCCCCCAGCATAAGCTGGTGGTGGCGGATTTCGATTCCGAATACGTGTCCACCGGGGCAAACGTGCCAAGACCGTGAGAACGAAGTGGTGGAAGCTTAAAGGGGAAGCAGCGCAGACGTTTAGTGATAGGATTCTAGGCGAGGGGCCTTGGGAAGGAGGAGAAGATGCAGATGACATGTGGCTAAAGATGGCAACATGTGTACGGAAGGTGGCTGCAGAAGTACTTGGTGTGAGTAGAGGAGGCAAGCAGGATGCGAAGGACACCTGGTGGTAGAATGACAAGGTGCAAAGGGCTATTCAGGAGAAGAAGGAGTGTTTCAAGCGCCTCCACCTTGACAAGAGTGCAACCAACATTGAGAGCTATAAAATAGCGAGAAGGGCTGCAAAGCGTGTCGTGAGTGTAGCGAAGGGTCAGGCCTTCGATGACCTTTATCAGCGCCTAGGCACGAAGGAGGGGGAGAAGGACATTTATAGGATGGCTAGGATTCGGGAGAGGAAGACAAGGGACATCAACCAAATCAAATGCATCGAGGATAGATCGGATCGGCCACTGGTGAAGGATGGGGAGATCAAGGACAGATGTCGAGAGTACTTCGACAAATTGTTTAATGGAGAGAGTGAAGGTCCTACCCTGGAGTTCGATGACTCATTTGAGGATACCAATAGACGCGTGGTGAGGAGAATTCGAGAGGCAGAGATCAGAGAGGCTATGAAGAGGATGAAGTGAGGTAAAGCAATGGGTCCTGATGGTATCCCCATTGAGGTGTGGAGATGCTTGGGCGCCAGAGCGTTAGTATGGCTAACTAAGCTTTTTAACCTCATTTTCCAGTCAAACAAGATGCCTGATGAATAGAGGAGAAGTACTTTAGTTCCGATCTTCAAGAACAAGGGAGATGTTCAAAGCTGTGGTAACTACCGAGGGATTAAGTTGATGAGCCATACGATGAAACTCTGGGAGAGGGTTATCAAGCATCGCCTACGACGAGTGACGAGTGTGACCCAAAACCAATTTGGGTTTATGCCTGGAAGGTCGACCATGGAGGCGATTTTCCTAATACAACAGTTGACGGAGAGATATAGAGACCTAAAGAAGGACTTGCACATGGTCTTTGTCAACCTTGAGAAGGCTTATGACAGAATTCCGAGGAATGTCATGTGGTGGGCCTTAGAAAAGCACAAAGTCTCATCTAAGTACATTACCCTCATCAAGGATATGTACAAGGATGCGATGACGTGTGTCCGAACACGTGGGGGCGGTACCAGCGACTTTCCAATTAAAATAGGACTACACCAGGGGTAAGCATTGAGCCCTTATCTATTTGCCTTGGTGATGAACGAGGTCACAAGGGACATACAAGGTGATATCCCTTGGTGTATGCTCTTTGCTGATGATATGATGCTAGTTGATGAGAGCAGGACATGGGTAAATAGGAAGTTAGAGCTGTGGAAGGACACGTTAGAGTCGAAAGGCTTCAGATTTAGCAGGACGAAGACCGAGTACATGACGTGCGCTTTCAGCACGGCTTCTCATGATGATGGTGACGTTAGCCTTGACGGGCAAGTGGTGGCCAAGAAGGAGACTTTCCGGTATTGAGGATCGATGCTACAAAAGGATGGCGGCATTGATGCTGATGTTAGGCATAGAATTGCAGCCGGTTGGTCGAAATGGCGTCAAGCGTCGGGTGTTCTCTGTGATAAGAGGTTGCCACAAAGGCTAAAAGGTAATTTCTATAGGACGGTGATTTGCCCGGCGATGCTATACGGTGCTAAATGTTGGCTTACAAAAAGGCAAAATGTACAACAACTAAGTGTAGCAGAGATGCGTATGTTGCGTTGGTTCTGCGGGCACACAAGAAGGGATAGAATCCAGAATGAGGATATTCGAGATAGGGTCGGGGTGGCTCCAATTGAGGAGAAATTGGTCTAACATCGGCTGAGGTGGTTCAGACATGTCCAACGGAGGCCTCCTAATGCACCGGTGCGTAGGGGAGTTCTTCAGCGGGTCGAGGATGTAAAGAGAGGTAGAGATCGGCCTAAACTCACTTGGGAAGAGTCGGTTAAGAGAGACCTTAAAGATTGGAATATCTCCAAGGATTTAGCGGTAGATAGGAGCGCTTGGAGGATAGCAATCCACGTGCAAGAACCGTGACTTTTGCTCTTTTCTCTTTTTGTTACAACCTCTTTCTTTTGTTTCGAGCCCTTTTTGTGTTTCTCTTGGGTTTCATCTCTAGCCTACCCCGACTTGCTTGGGACTAAAGGCTATGTTGTTGTTGTTATAATTTTTTATTTTTATGGGAATGAATTTGGGATGAACCATTCTCAGAACTTCTCAGCATCCGACCAATTTGCGAACTCCCTTCCTAGTTGGCTTTGCACGTGATGAATTTTTCTAGCATGAATTGTTCCAATTTTCCTTCTTCTTTTGAATTTGGCGTTGGATACCAAAAATGCTGATGGCTGAGTTTTCCCTAAAGCATCTCAAAGAATGTTTATTGTTGTTCAGAGTTGGATGAGGTTGTGGGTTGCCTCGTGTTGTATCTCAGGGTGATTTGGCCAATGTGGGTAACATGGATAGCTGATCTGAGGACGCTAGGGTTCCGGCGAGGTCTCAATTGGAAAATGAAAGTGAAGAAATTGGGGTCATTTGAAATTTTACAAAGGAAATGAGAGACACGTGCTAATATTTGGGACCACTAGTTTATTTACCCATTTGGTTTATTTTCCATTTAATTTTATCTTTTAGCTTTATGTTTGTTTGGGAAAAAAGTGGTTACTTGTGGGACCACAGACTTGTATTTAACATCACATTTTGAGGAATGAAAAGGCAAGAAGAAAATGATCTAATTTCTCTCTCCTTTCTGTTTCTCCCTTTCGTCTCTTTCTTCTTCACCAAGCTCAAAGTAAAAAATTACATAACTCCATTAATATATAAATATAAGGGTTCACTACAATTGGTATCACCCAGGCCGCCATTTTCTCTTTTTTCATGGCTGAAGCAACCCGATTCAAAGACCTGCAAGAAGCCCAGAAAAAACTCGATCACATTTTGCAAACAAAAAGCCTCAAACGTGATGCTGCAGAAATTAAATTGCAGGACCAAATTAATGACATGAACACTGGGTTTACCAACCGTTTGGATCATCTTGCAGACACACTTGCTGCGATCCAACTTCAGATCCTCAATCCTAAGGTAAACCCTCACAATGAGGAATCTATTCTCGGCGAGCATAACAGCTCCACCTCACAGGGATATCAGAAACTCAAACTCTCACCTGATAATTCTACCCAACATATCATTAGCCCTTTACCTCGTATTGAATTCCCCAGATTTGATGGAGCACAACCCCGTGCTTGGATCCTCAAATGTCAATCCTATTTTCGTTTAATGCCTAATATTCCAGATTCTCAGAAAGTTCACCTTGCCTCGATTATATATAGTCTAGATAAGTTTTATATGAAAGAAAGAGAAATTGATACATGCTTTGTTTCAAGCAAGAAAATTCATTTCTTTCCCCCAAATAATCCTACCAACCAACATGTATGTGTTTAGGATTATTGCATTTGAGTTTTACCACAATTTCACTTTATTTTTGTTTTTGTTCACCTTTTGAGTCTAACAGTTTTCTTCTTTTTAATATTTCTGATATTGGAAATTTTTGTAGTTGTAACCAGTGTTGAGGCGGAAAGGCATCGACCAAACACTAGTTAAACAGTGTAAACATTAGAACTACTTTTTATTCCTGTTTAGATGTGGATTTATAAGTATATCAAGCCTTACATACTTCTTTTGTATTCCTGTTTAGTCATGGAAATTGATTGATCAACTCAGAACTACTTTTGTACATATGTACCTGATTTTTTTTACAACGATTCTTGCCAGAAAATTGTGTAAACTCGTAAGTTAGTATACCTGATGTATACATTTTAACATTTGGTCGATAGTTAGATTTTCATCAAGCTTCTTCATTTGATTGTAGGTCTTGGTTATTCTCTCTCTTTGTGTGTGTGTGTTTCAAATTAAGCTTTAATCAATCAATTCTTTCTTCGTTTTAATCTCAACATCAATTGTAAGTTATATAGGCATTAGATGTTTGTATTAAGTGATTAGTGTGGAAATTCATTTTTTAATGAAAATTGAAATGTGTTCTGTTTCCGAACTAAATTCCATTTGATCTGTGTATACATTAGAAAGCTCTGATCTACATGGGATTTCTGAAATTTGTGACCCGTATTTTGCTTAGAAGCATGATTTCGTGTAAGCCCATGTTGTAAAATTACATGCTTAGGCTATTCGTTGATTAGATGACTTGTATTTCTCTTACAGGCATTGGACGATGAATTCTCAAGATGAAATTATCGTGGTCATGTCTCAAATGGAAAATGCTACAGAAATGAATTAAGCATTGACTAAAACGAGTGAGATGGAAAATATATATGGTACGCCACAAGGTCCGGGGGGAATGGTTAATCCATTTGCTTATTTTACTCCAGGATTTCAAGTGAACTTTGCATACAATCCAACAGATGCATCGACATCTCTTCTTGTCAGCCAAAAAAATAGAGTCGGTTTATCATACAAGCAAGTGCTAAATGCTCCCATGTATTCTTTCTAGCCAACACATGTTTACCATGCACAAACAAATCTTGCGCAAAAAAAGGCTAAGACGAAAGACAACGACTTCATGATCTCTCAAACTCTTGAAAATGACAAATTCAATAAGACTGAAGATGTTGCATTGACGAAGGCTTGGCTTTATATTTCAGTTGATGCAGATGTTGGCAATAACCAAAAAACTACTGTATTATGGAAACGTGTTTTCGTGTTTGGAAAGAAAATACGGGAGCTGAGTGTAAAGATAACCGAACGCCGATTAGCTTGCAGAAACGCTGGAAAAAGATAAACCAAGCTGTTACCAAGTTCAATTCATTCTACGAGAAGTTGGATAGACTTCCAAAAAGTGGCACTAACTTGGATGATATGGTTAGTTTCTATACTTCAATTCATTATATTAAAGTATACATTCTCCTTTTTTAGTTTTACTTGTCTGTTTATCGAGGTGTTCATGTGTCTGGATTTCTAAGTTAGACATTGGTATGTTTGCTAAATGAGGTATTCTCCTTTTTGCTGTATGTGTATTATTATGATGTGCAAAGAGAATGTTGAACACTGACTAGAAAAGGTGAATTGTTCTCAGTATTTTTTTTATCTTTTGTTTTGGTTTTATTTACCTCGTAAAGTGAGTTGCTTTGAGACTCTTTTTTATTAGAATCCTTTTAAATTGAGCAGTGTTGATCTTGGATGGAAAATGGGGACAAAATGTGAATAAATCTGTAACTTTTGTATTAAAGCATGACAGAGCAATATGAAGAATTTGAGGTGTCCCTGATGTTTGCTGATGTTTGAAGTAAACGTGAATATCATCTAAATGCTCAAGTTGATTGATATGAAGACTTTTTATTGGTATAATAAAATTTTCAGCAATTTTTTTAGTTATTTTCAAACTTATCACTTTAACAATGTATTTCAGAAATGAGAAGCAATTCGTATGTATAAAGAGTGCACCGGCAAAAAGGAATTTCAGTTTGAACATTGTTGGGAGACATTGAGAACAAATCCCAAGTGGTGCATGAAAAATATGACAAAAAAGAAAATGGAATTCAATGAAGGAGTTGATCCCACAGATAAGGGCACATCATCAGTATATATTATCCCAGATGATAGTCACGATGTGGACTGTATTGGTGAGATTCAGAAGACTAATGGCATTGTGCGTCCTCAAGGAAGAAAAGCATATAAGAAGATTAAAAGGAAAACCAATGAGGATGCAGGTGTGATAGATGCTATAAAAAGTTTGCGGTCTACTTTTGAGAAAGAAATTGAGTTTAAAAAGGAGAATAGCAAAATAGAATTTGACTTTAAGCAGCAAATAGCAAATCAAGAGATGGAAGTTAAGGTTGCTGCTGAAAAAATAAAATTAAAAGACCAAGAACTCCGCGAAGAAGCTCAAAAGAAAGAAGACCAGAGAAAGGAAAAAGAATTGCACCAAAAAGAGCAGCTTGAGAAGAAAGCTCAAAAGAGAGAAGAACAATTTCGTATTATGAGCATAGATGTTTCCAAGCTTCCAGAAACTGTACGAAAAAGGATGGAAGAATGTCAAATGCGGATACTAAATGACTGGGAAACCGAGTCTTTTTGGAGAAAATGTTCTAAGTTCCATTATTTAGTTTAATGTCATTAAGTTTTTTACTCATTATTTCACTTGTCTTTGGTTATAATTTTTACATTGGTGTTGGCATGTAGGAAAACAAACAATTGGAAGAATCTTTGGCCGGAGAATCGCGCAGTACTAGAGAGGTAGATTCAGACAAAGATTGAATGATTTTTATTTCCTTTTAGCTTAATGATCAGTGGACTTGTAAATTAAGCTACTTAGCGTGTTAGTACATTTTCCTATGATTTGTTTAATTATCTAATGGAGTATTTGAGTTTTATGCACATATAACTGCATGGTGGCACTCTATAAATTGAATTGTGTTTGTGCTAGTAAGTTTCTCAACATTAAACTGAATAAGCTCTTCATCAATGATATGAACCAATTCACAGAAATGTGAAACTCAACTTATCAGCAATGAATAAATAATAACAGAAAAATTATCATCAAGCCCAAGAACTTGATGTTATGCAGTGTACAAGTTACCAGTGCATATAAACTACAGAGGTGTCTTGAATTTTGTTGGAATACATATAAAGATGAATGGATGATATCTAATATAAGTGCATGTCATTTACTACAATAAAATATACCTTCTTTTCCTTTATTTATTAGTTTATCTATATTAATTACCTAAGGAAAACATACACATTTCCCAAACTCACCAAGGGGACTAAAGAGGCCATAATTGAAACACTAAAACATCCTCCACCATAAGAAAGCACCATATGAATATATATTCTTTTGGTTTTTTTTTCTTTATATTGCTATATCAGAATCAAAATTCACAAAAGTTTTGAGATTACCAACAATTACTCGGTAGATGTTGTGTACAACTACAAAAAACACCCACAAAAGTCTAGCTTAATTACAACAAATTCCAATCATTTCCCAAAAACTTACAAAAGACCTGAAAAAAAATGTATTGCAACTTACAAGCTCCACTTTTGAGTGTGGAAATATCGAAAAGAGAATTGATGGGAGTTTTGTAATTTTTGTATATTACAATGCTCCATGTTATACAAAGAATTCGATTACGTTGTTACAAAAAACACAAAAGCCTATGAACAACCAACTTATATATGCTTGTGATTCTCTAAACTTCCCCTGGCTATATGATCATAAACAAGAAGCCTGTGCTCATCCTCACAACAATATCCTCAAAACAATGATAAATTTATTGTCTTTCTTTTAATAAGCTCTGTTTTGCAAAGAAATACAGATAAATGAAGTTGTGCTCTCTCGGGCCATGATCGCCACCCGAATCAAGCAACTTGATGGCTACGGGCTAGGCCACCAGCCCGGGCCGATACTTGTCATCTGCAAAGGCCTTGTAAACCGACCCGAACTCGCCCTCACCAAGAAAATTGCATGACGAGAAGTTGTTGGTCATGACCTTGAGCTGGATGAGCATGAAGACGTGAAGATAGGACGCCATCTTGGAATTGGACAAGTCGCTTGTGCAAAAAACCGAGTTCGGGTCATTTATGTCCGAAGCGATATTCTTGAAGTCGATTTTTTCTTTAGGATTCGGCTTTTCAAGTTGGAAACAGGGCTTTCGGACTTCAGACAAGAGGATAAAAATGATCTCCATGTACAGTTTTTAAGGGTCATTTGTGTTTTTTGTGTGTGTTTTTTTTTTTATTACACAACTTATGAAGATGAGTTCATATGGGAAAATATGTTATCCTACAACATTTTGATAACAAAAGAATGAATAGTGTGACAATAAGAATGAAAATTTTGACAATCAATCCAATCAATAATATGAAGTGATTAAGATATCAAGAAGTCTATGAGCTACAGAACCAAAATCATCCATTTCAATAATTATAAAAAACTAATTACTAAGAACAACTTAATAATAATGGAAATAAGCAGATAACTATATCAAAAAAACCAAGCTAACTTAAACCAAAGCACCAGAGAAAACCATTTGAGAACTAGAAATAATAAATTTCCAGAAACAGTAGAATCATATTGTACAATTATACATTTAATTCGCCAAACCCCCCTGTATTATACTAAATCTGCGCCTTTCCCCCCTCTAATATAAAAATTGCGTCAGACCCCCTTCTATTAAGGTTTTGCATGCGCGCAATACCCTAAACCGTCTAAGATGACGGAAGTGCACAGCACGCGCGTCGTGTGCGGCTTTTCCTTCAGTTTTTCACCCTAAAGTCGCGGAAGTTACTTTTTTACCCTTCTATTAAGGTTTTCCTTCAGCTTTTCACCCTAAAATCAGCCATTTATGATGCTCACCTTCTTCCCCACCTCACACCATCGCGCAGCTCACAGAAAAGGTACGCCTTCTTCATTTTTTTTTTTTTCTTTCGGCCGAATTGCACAACACATTCATTTCACCCTCCAATTTTTGTTTTACTTCTTCCTCCTTCCTCACTGATGGGCGACGCACAGGAAAAATTTTGTTTTTTTTTTCTTACTTCACGCCTTCTTCATTTTTTTTATTTTATTTTTTCTTTAGGTCGAAAAAATACAACTCATTTGTTTTGTTTTTTACTTCACGCCTTCTTCAGACCAAAAAATACAACACATTTGTTTTTTAAATTTATTTTATAAATATTTTTTTAAATAAATTATACAACAGGTTTTGAAATATTTTTTTATAAATATTTATTTCCGTTTTTTTTGTTATTTTTTATTTTTTATTTTTTTTGGCAGGTTGAATATGTCTACTTCCCAAAAATCAAAGATGTCAAAGAATGAGAGTTTGGATCTAAGGTATAAGCACCCTAAGTGTGGTTGCAACACATTTGCTCGCATTCGGGTCGTTGGTCCTACAAAAGAAACTGTTGGCAAACTATTTTGCAATTGCCCGTACAACAAATGTCGTTTCTTTGCTTGGCTTAAACCTGTCTCAGTGAATTGGGTGAAGTCAAATGAAATCCATGAAGATGAAGTTTGTTATGAAGACGATGATGATGAAGTACAGTCAACCGGAGCAAAGCTAACAAATGAAAATGTAGAGGTCGCAATAATGCTGAAGGAGGTGCAGTCAAAGATGGAGAAAATTGAGAAAAAATTTAGCAATGGATTGTTTTTTTTGGTTATTGTAATCCTTTTGGCTGTTATTGTTCTCAAGTAATTTTAGATGATAATTAATGTAATCATTTGGACAATGTATGCCTTTATTATCATCAATGAAATGCAGTAATTCAATATTCCAGCAACTCCACTCTCACCACATCTATCTCCCACAATGTAACATTCAAAACACTGTTATCACTACAATCAATAGCCACAAATAGCAAAAAAAACTATCATTGAAAACATTACTATCAATAGCCACAAATAATGTCAATAGCATTCAAAGCAATAGGGTCATCACCATAAATTATACTTCAATATCCATAAACACCATAATATTGTCATAACTGTCATCATCACACAAAGTCTAACCAACATACAAACACCAAAATATTGTCATAACTGTCATCATCACAAACACAAAGCATAACTGTCATCATCACAAACACAAAGTCTAACCATCATCACATCAAATAACACACCATGAAATCACCAATCACCACCATATTCCCTGTTTTGTTGAGTGAAGGTTTGAGGGCCAGAGCACTGAATAAAATCTTCAAAAGATGGCATGGAAGTCTCAAATGGCTGAGACGACTGAGACGGTTGAGATGGTTGTGGCTGTGGCTGAGATGGTTGTGGCTGTGGCTGAGATGTTTGTGGTTGTGGCTGACATGGTTGTGGTTGTGGTTGTGGCCGAGATGCCTGCCCAAAAAAAAAAGCAAACAAAAACAAAACAAAATCATGTCACAGTGTTTAAAAAACACAAATATGATTGTTGAAATAACAATATTGGAAGTTTGAAAAATTTTAAAAATTGACTGACCTGTTCACCTTCACCTCCTCTTTTGGGGCACCTTCTCTTATTGTGATTGTTTCCACCACATAAAGTGCATCTCTTGATAAGCCCCTTTCTGCTACTGTTTGTTGCCATTGGTCTCATGTCATTAGCGTCAGCTCTTCTTTTCTTTGTTGGCCTACCCCTTTTTTTCACAGAATCAGGCGGTTGAATTGGACCCATTCCAGACTCCTCATAATCATTCATCCCTGGAACTGGGAAGATCATATGGCTATACATCCTGATATACATGTCCTTTTTGAAAAAATCAGACACATAATCAGATACACTGAACCTATGATAAGAGATACATGCCAGTGCATGGCAGCAGGGGTAGCCAACCACTTGAAACATACCACATGTGCACCTTCTTGCTTCCAATTGGACTATATGGCTGCTTACTCCATGAACCACCTCATATTTGTCTTCTCCAGCCCAAGTAGGGAAACAATTTCTACTGATTTCCCTTTGCTCTTCAATTTTTCTCACTGTATTAGGACAAATGTCCTCTCTGTATTTTTCTATTCCAGCTTTCTTCACCTGGATCCTTGCCATCAATCTTCTTCTGATCCACTCAAACATGTCCACAATAGCCATATCCCTGGCTTCCAAAATGTAGTTGTTGAAGGACTCTGAAAGATTATTAACTATCACATCACACACTGCATTAGGAGAAAAGAAACACCTTGCCCAGTGTTCTTCAGGGACAGCCTTCAACCATTCAAATGGAGTTTCCTACAGCAAAGTACAAAATCTCATTATATTAATATAAATTGAGACAATGAGATGTTATTTAAAATCTCAAAGTACAAAATACCTACAGTAAAGTATTGTTCAAAGATGAACACAAAACATTGTTCAAAGCATGAACAAAAAGTAAAAAATACCTACTGTCCTTTTTAAATTAAAATACCTACACCAAATATATAGCAGGTTATTCAGAACAAAACCATAAAATGAACACACTCTTATATTCAGACCCAAAGGTATTCACATTACACAGCAGGTATGTAATGAGAAAATTACAACAAGTTTTTGTAAGGAGAAAAATACCTTGCCATCCTTCTTAGGAATAAGCTTTTGAATTTGACTCATGCACCTGAGATGCTCCTTGACATTGTATGTGCTGGCTGCCTTCCAAAACCATTTCCTCAATTCTAGATCCCCCCACTTCTGCTTAAAATTGTTGTACATGTGCTTCAAGCAATATCTGTGCTCTGCCCCCTCAATTTCACTCACAGCTTCAAGCAAACCCTTTTGTCTATCTGAAACAAAAGTCCATTTTTTCTCCTTGTAAGGGTCTATATCCCTCATTAACCTTTCAAGGAACCACCTCCAAGAATCAGTCTTCTCAACTTCTACATATGCCATTGCAATTGGTAGCATATTGTCATTTCCATCTCTACCAACTGCTGAAAGAAGTTGACCACCATGAAGAGTCTTCAGAAAGCATCCATCAAGCCCTATAATTGGCCTACAGCCAGTTAAAAATGCCTGCCTCATTGCACTTAGGCAAACATACATCCTCATGAACTTTGGAGGTGAAAAATCATTGTTCAACTTCAGGATAAGAGAGCTACCAGGATTGTACTTGGCCACTGTGGAGCAGTAGTCATATAGCCTCTTATATTGTTCCCCATAGTCAACCTTCAACAAAGAAAGAGCATACACCTTGGCCCTGTATGCCTTGTGCAAACTAACCTCAACCCCACAATGCCTCTTGATTTTGTTTTTCAGACTTGGCAGACTCTCAGTAGGATTGTCCCTCAAAGTATCTAGCATTCTTTTTCCAAGATACTTGTAGTCTGCTTGTGTGTTCTCTGTCCTGTAAGCACATGAGTGTGTGCCTTTCAATGTCTTGATTTGAAATGTGGACAAACCTCCAATAACTGAGGCCCTCAAGAACCAGTCACACCCACTCTTACATTTTGCTGTGATAAGCTTGGCTTCATTTTTTGGGAACTTCAAATCATATCCCTTTCTAACAGACCAATCTCTAATCACCTCCTTAAATGTTGCTCTGCATTCATATTTTTGACCAACCTTCAACTCAAACCTTGACATGTCAGTACCATTAATCCATTCATCAGGCTCTCCAAAGCAGTTGTCATCATCCTCAGGGTCACTGTACCAATCTTCTGTTGTAGACCTTCTTGCAGCACCAGCTTCTTTTCTAGCCTTCTTTTTCTGCTTCTTTCTTTGTTTCAGCCATTCTCTTGCCCTCTTGTGTACCTTCTTAGCATGATCATGTTCTCTCTGTTGGAATATATCATCATCATCAGGGCCTTCTAAATCCTCCAATTCCCATTCAGATAAATCTGAGGAATCACCATCACCACTGTCTTCTTGAGGTTCATACTCTGAATCCTCTGAATCCTCTGAATCTCCAAATTGTTGTTCTGCAACTTCATCTTCAAATTGTTGTTCTGCCACTTCATCTTCAAATTGTTGTTCTGCCTCCTCATGAAGATGGTCCTCCTCATGGCCAACTGTTTGGGATTCTCCTTCATCATGTGAACAGGGTCTTGCACCAGCACTGGTTGTCTCATCTCTGTGGACATCACCATCAACTGTGGCTTCACAAGCAGCAGCACCAGCACCATCATCTCTTTGTACAGCACCATCAACTGTGGCTTCACAAGCAGCAACACCAGCACCATCCACCTCACCAGCACCATCATCTCTTTGTGTAGAATCCACCTCACCAGTACCAT